TTGACATCATATATTACAATAATATATCTTTTTCCTTATTTTCACATATGCGATGCAGTTTTTTAGATCTTTTATGCAGGTTAGTTTCTTTACAACAACTTCATAGTATTTTCTTGTTTCTAAATTCATAGCAATAGTAGAGGAGGAGAGGAAAATTATTTTGGAGTTTACCAATACTGATTAGACGTAAGTCAGTTTATGTATTCCTATCATTAAATAATCAAACAGCACAAAAATATATTCATCCTAAATTTCATGACTAGTATTATACACCATTCCATAGACACAAATTGTTTTATAAGTTTCTAAAAAGGTAACATCTTTAAATATATTTGTGTGGAAACAAAATCAACCTAAAGGCTGGTTTTCCTTCTGCCTTTGCTCTTAACCTTTTCAACCGTGTCACCCGTATAGCATTAACGACCATGTTTGGGTTTCTTCTATATGAGGGGTTATTGGGTGACAGTTGCCTCAGATATAAGGAGTTAATAGCTGGCAGATGCAAACAAAGTCCAGCAAAATTGCATTACAGGTCTGTTTATCATTATGTGAAAATGACTTGACAAATCAATCAAAAATAGCATCTTTAGAAGATCTCTTACACCCACAATTTAATCAAATGTGTCAGTGTAACACATCAGATATTCCAGCTGATTCTCACGTTAAGTTTTATGTATTTTCCTACATGCCTGAAGTGACTCGTACGTGCAAACATCCATGAGCAAATCCACTACAACCACTTATGATAATATGTAAATGACACTATCACACTCAAACCTGATAAGCCCTTTAATACAATATTAGTTGGTTTGCGGAAGAAAGACATCATGAATACTAATGAGAGGAAAAGTAGAGAGAGAAAGTGAGAATGAGAGAAAAAATTGTCATAATAACATAGCAACAATAATGCCCTACTTCTACTACAGCCTAATTCTTTTCACATTTAGATTAATGGCAGAAAAAATCACATTACACAAAATAGATCTAGTGGGTATTTCTGCCATTGTATCAACAATTCTGTGTTTTGTTAAATCATGTAGATTAATGTTGGTTTAGTAACAACAATTAGCATATAGGTGTATGCAAAGTTCTACTAAAATATCACAACATTCACTATCACCTGGTAAACAGTTTTGAAATATTAATAATTAACATATACAGGATAAACTTTCAGCTTCTTTCAATCATACAGAATTCATATTCATCAAAAAATTAATTAACTTCTTGTAAAAAAAAGAACAGGAAAGAAAAAAAGGAAATAAAGAGAGAAAAAAATAGATATATTTACTTTTTGTGTGTGAAGCAGGTACAACTGAAAATGACTGACATTAATCACAACTGGAAAGTCCACACTAAATCTGATAAACAGAACTGTTTTGCATAATGGTGATTTTAATGGTTTAAAACTTTCTGAAAGAATAAATTAAACACCAACCACAGGAGATTATGATACAACAGTTTTCTTAAAAAGCCACTAAAGCTATGTGATAAAATAAATTTGATATTCACACTTTATTTAGTACCATATATTTTAGAACACTGAAATATGACACTTTACTGTGTCTGGAAACAGTACCATTTTGTTATTATTATTATCATTATTATCATTATTTTTTTTTGGGTTTTGTTCTGTCTTCTGTGAGTAACGGATACATTACTCAGCTGGACTAAAGCCATACAAATTTGCAACTCTGGTGAGGAGCTCTGCCACCACCTGCCGCAGATGGGGGTCGTGCGCATGTGCTGTTAGGGATCGCACAGTAGGGAAAAGGAGAGGCAGCAGTGGACGCAGCTCAGAATCACTCAGCTGACTGATGAGGTCAAATACAGTCACAACCATCTCTGTCCACACTTTCAGGTGAGCTTCACTGTCCTGTGGATGGTGACAGGTCAAAAGTTCAGTTAATGTTCACTGCAGAGTATAGAACAATTAAACAATGATAATGACTGATTGATAACAAAAACATTAACGAAAAAAACAACTATGGTAACAAATATAATTCACTAATACTACGTCAATAACGGTAAGTGAAATGCATATACAACAACCAAACAAAATTATTACAAACCGTAATAAAAAAAAAGCATAATACCAATAATAATAGTCATACACATACTTACATATGTTAATGATCATGACTAAAGAAACACAAAGAAATTAAATGCTGGTGCATCTGCAATATTTCCTATACTTCACCTTCATTAAGCTATTAGTTCTTTGCTCCTCTATTTCCTGCGGCACAGGATCAGCTGGCCTGCTTGGTTTTCTTTCCAAAAAGGGATTTGATCTCTTCTCTCTATGCATGGAAGGAAGTGAATGCTGGTTCTTTCGTCTCCTATAATCCGTCATCAAAGTGGCTATGTCCCGCTCGGTGGCCACTCTATATATGCTCTGGTGCCCATCTTGAAAGAGGGAAACAAAGTGTTATTATCTATTCAATGAGTGAATCTGTACTAAAATATTCACAATAAAAAATGAAAGACGAATCTGACCAATACTTCATCAGTTACAGAAATGCAGCAAAAGGAAATAAATTTCTAAATGGTGCCCCCTGTACATATGTGAATGAGATTTACACTTTGGCAATACTTTAAAGCGATGGAGATACCCTTTTTTATGCAGATTACCAATCTTCACTGTGATAATTGGGGGCAACCTTGTTTTCCATGACACACTAAATTGGGGTTATCATAATGGCCATGTTACCTTTAAAAAAAATTATAAATATATAGAGATGCACATCCAAAAACATTGTACATATATAAAATGCTAATCTCCTCACCTGCCAAACTTGCAACGCCAGAGTCAATAGTTTCAGCAAATTCTGGCGACTCGGAGTCTTCAGAATCGGAAGAATATTCTCGAGCAAAGTCAGCCAGAGTAAAGGGACGGACTTCATTTTGCTCCTGTGCCTTTTTGGGATGGTTACCTGGCAAGGATGTGCTATTAGGGCCAGCACCAATAGTCATGGTTCCTGACATGAGTTCACTGTCATCTTCATTCACCTCCGAGTCCTTTGATTTTCCCTTGATATACTGCTTATTAAATTCTTCCAAGCTTTTAGTCCACTGTGCCAAGCTCTTGCGGTGAGCGGTAGGAAACTCGTCTGGCTGTACAGTGAGGAAGAATATCGGCTGGTCGTTTATTTTGTCGACAGCCGAGTAATGTCCATCTTTGTCGATGACCAGATCTAAATACACCTCACAAAGTTCTGTGAATGAAGCTCTTAACATCTGAATATACTGTATTGTATCATCTTTCAACAGCTGTGTTGGTCTTTGTAATATCTTGTTGTCCTGAGATCCTTCGGTTTCTTCCTCTTTGTCGTCTTGTCCCTTGAGTGTATTCTTTGCTCTAACATCTTTTTCAAGCACTTCTTTGACTTCATTTAACCCTAACCCATGCTTTACCTGGGAGAGTGTTAGGTCAAAGAGTGTCACCATCCGAAGTGTCCAGCTGGCTCCCGCTTGCTTGTACAAATTTGCTGCTCTCTCAGCTTGTGCAACTTTCTGGATCAAAAATTTAAGCCCTGGACGGCGGTCAAATTCAACAGCTGCAGTGTAGGACTGCTGAAGAGCGTCCATCAAAATTTGTATATGATCTGGTCTCATGAAGCGAAGAAATCCAGGAACCTTTCCTTCACTCTCCGCAACCCTCCCATCCTCACTCTCGGTTTTCGAGAAGCCCATGCCTTGCAGGATTACATTTGCCAAACTGTAAAAAAAAAAGAAGAGAAAAGAAAACAAATCATAAGCATTATGAAACAGTGTATATCTGTGCAATGGTAAAACTATGCGCAGTAATATCTACTGATCACAGAGTCACTTCAACTTCTACGTACCTTGGTATGATATGAGGAGAACCCTGAACCAAGAAAGACCCTAGTGTCTGGAGGAGAATCTGATGTGCAAGGAGGCCGACAATCAACGTCCTGAAAGGTACTCGAACTGGTTCCTCTTCGTCATTTGCCTCAAAACTACAGCTATGCAAAACATTGGCATGTCCATGGTCCTCAGGGTACAGCAGGAATATGAATGAGCGATCCTCAGCGTCTGGGTTATCTACCGCAGCAGATATATTGCTTCTCTGTGTATCTAACAAGAATACCTGAAAGGAGCAGTGTAATTAGCATACATATACTTACCTCGTTATGACAACAACCGACATACACCACAATAACCCCGTATTTCACATGAAAAACATTGTTATGAACCTGATGAGAGAGTTGTCTCAGACGATCACTGTCTTTCCCAGTGCAGTCTCTTCGAGCTGCTACCTTCACTTGACCCACATCGCCATAGAAATTGGGAGATTCGGGGTGAAAGAGATTCATCAGCTGATACAGGGGGTACAGTGAGACCTGTAAAAGCAATAAATAATGTAAAGTCGTTTACAATCTATCTGGGAAGTGTAGCAGGTAAGGTCAATTTAAATCCAAGAATGAGAAGCTTTAAACTTTTTAAAGTCTTTAAAGTCCAGCTACAGATTAGTCAGTAACACAATACCTAAAGAAATATATTATCACAATTGATTTCATACATTACTTTAAAATATATTAATAAATGCTGATAAATATGATTCAGTATAACCATACAATTACAATGGTATATTATATGTATATATATATATATATATATATATATATATATATATATATATATATATATATATATATATATATATATATAGATATAGATATGTATAATATAAAATTCATTCTGTATATACCTACACCAACTGTAAGCCTCAAACAAAAAACACATGAGTCTTACCATGCAAGAACGGTGCAAGCCACAGACCACAACATCCCAGTATTCTGGAGGTAAATGTTCACCACAACTGCTGATCACGTGTCTGAAAGAAATCAATGTCAGATTTCATTTTGCTATCAAACAACATTTCAAAATTGAACTAAATCTAATAGAATATTCTGCTACAGAGACTCGGACTCAGAAGTTTATTATTAATGATATGGAGTGCAAGCATTAGTATGGCAAATAAACAAACAAAAAAATGACATTGTTTACTGCCATCTCAAAGGGACTGTTTTCTGACTTTAAAATTTTCCTTCCAAATATTAATCATATCCTGGAAAAATAAGAAATATAAAAGAAAGCAGTAAAAACATTTGAATCTTCTTTTGTATCTAAATAAACGGAAATAGTTTCCCACTGGCAGCTTTATTGTTTCCTTTATTACCACAATGGAGAAATATTAAGATGATACTGAGTAGCCTACCTAATACATGCACATCCTAGTCTTGATATTGTTTCACTGGGATGAGTAATGCACTCCACAAGTACCAGCAAACACTGCTGCAACATCAACAATGCTCCAGGAGTCTCCGACAAAACACCTAAAATGGAGAAAGCCATCTGTAGCCATTGAATGATGAAATTTGAGCATTTTTTACCTTCAGAAAATTGCCCATATTTATCTACATAAAACAGCTTTATCACAATTTCAACATATGTACCATCACTGGTAAAAGATTGAGCAGAAACACTTCATACCTTTATTAGCTAATTTTGAGAGGTACTCCACAACAAGGTCTGATGTCAACCCAGTGTACTGCTTGAATGATGCAGTGAAATCCCAACTGTTGGATGGAAGAGTATACGATCTCCTTAGCCATCCCTGCATCAGTGGTAACAACAAGTGGTTCACACAATACATCCCAAACATAGGGCCTGTAGGGGGAGAGAGGGATATTTTCTGTTTACTTTATAAAATAATAATAATGATAAAAATATATGATTATGCAAAGCAGTATCTCTAATCAAAACGCTGCAAGAAGATTTGAAACTCAGAAACCTACCAGGACAGTCTGGTAGACTACGCAAAAGGGTGAAGAGTGTATCAAGCGCCTGGGGCTGGTACCGTCTAGGGCAGGTCATGGTAGCCCCTGCCAATCCTTCAAGGAGGAGATACCACACCTGTAGGATCCCACTGCTATGGTCCAGCATCATCAGGGTCACTTCTTGATTACTTGCAGAAGGCCACAGTGCTTGATATGAAACCTGAAATGAAGTATTTTCTTGGTGAGTAAGAGATACAGTTCTAGAGAGGTAAACTTACTTTTTTTTAGTTTGAACCTTAAGTTCCATTACAGTAGAGACACTTTTTTTTAAGAATTATCAGTATTGATAATGTTTATGGTCTTTACAGAGTTTTTATCATAATGATCAGTTCATTGAATATTAATCACTTAGAACAAGATATATACAATGAATATGCTTTTATATATATATATATATATATATATATATATATATATATATATATTATATATATATTATATATATATTATATATATATTATATATATATATACAAACACAATTTTATATATTTGCTAGACCTGAACCAAGAAATCTCATCAGGACAATGTAGTGAACTTTACAAAAGAAACAATATATAAGTAATCTTTTTCATATTATGATTTTTTTAAAAATAAAATGCACATACCTTCTTCACTTCCATGCCAGCTATTTCATTAAGTAGTGATCCAAGTAGATTTTCATCAATGTTAGGCAGATGTGGGTCTACAAGCTGTGGGGGCATATTCACTGTGATCCTGGAAAGATTTTATTACCATTGGGGTTATTAAAAGGATCAATTCATAATTTCAGGTGCAAAGGAATTATCATAGAGATTATTGGCTATCAACTTTAATAAATAAATACCTAGATTTTGTAATCATTTGTAAATTAAGATGCACAGAGAATAGAAAAACTGTAAACATCTATATGAACTCTGTCCAGTAAATCACCTGTCACTTACACAAGCCATGTGAACCTTTCCCTTATATTATCACTTTCTACATCCAAACTACAATTACATTAATGATTTTCTACATCCCTGTCCCAACTACATTAAGCAACTGCATATCAGAGGACCTGTGAGCAGCATGGAAGACAGGACATGCTGGCATCTGGTACATCGAGGCAAGAATAGCAGCACAGCGATGCAGGTAGCGGAGGGCATCAAGGCATAAGTCACCTCCCACAAGTTCGTCCCATCCAACCACCGTTTCATCACTACTTTCCTCTTCACCTGCAAATTATTTTCAGAACTTTGACAGTGGGAAAAAATAGTATATTAAAAAAAATAAATAAAATAAATAATAATAATAATAATAATAACAATAACAATAACAATAATAATAATAATAATAATAACCTAACATCATTAGTCAATGATGACTGACCAAAATCTGCTACATTATGTCTATCTGACAAAAATGATCTAATGGTGGATCACAGAAGAGAATGAGGTTTAGTATCTGCATTTACTCAATAAATTTCAATTTCACCGGAATATTACCTGAACCTTTCACATGCTTCAGGAGGCACAGAACACAATCCAGTGCAGCATTTGCAAACACCAGCACATTATCTGTTGCCAAGAATGCTTCAAACACATCTCGCACAACATGCAGGTGTCCCATACTATCGCATGTGTTGTTGACTCCTGTTAAAATCAAGGTAAAATATGTCACAAACAACTTTGCCCTTTATATTAAAAATATGGCATAACACAAATTAAAGCTCATAATAATTGCACATGAAATAAAAACTGTTTTCAAAATACTTCTGATCAATCTTTTCAAAAGAGTGATGGCTCTATTGGTTTCATTTCCTAATAACAAATGAAAGTTGAAACAGAAAGTAAATCTGAAATACAAAATTCTGCATGGTCATAGGAAAGCACCACCATACCAGGCAGCCCTCCTGGCACTGAGGGTGAAGGCAGGGCACTCGGGGGTCGAACACAGCGCAGGGCACCAAACAATGGCCTCCACCCTGACCTTATCTCTGGAGTGCAGCTTTCTACAAACTCACAAATACTGCTTATAATCTGAAAAGAAAGCAGCTCTAATTTTAACACTTATACCAATTATTACACAATATATATCTATAATAACATCTATAAATTTTCAGAAGCTGAACTCTCAAGCCATGTTATTAAAATCAAGTACTATTTTCTAATCTTAAGATCACTTGTTAGTTTACAATCTTAATTTCTGTTATCATCTTGCTATCTAAAACTCTGTAACTATCCTACTATCTTTATACCAGTTTCTATTTTGCTATTTTAACATCAGTTACTATCTTGCTAACTTAACTTTAGTTACTATCTTGCAGTTACACATTGCTAAAAACTTACCTGGTCTTGTATATCAGCATCACAGAGTTCTAAACATAAGAGGTTTTCAAATGGCTTGAATAATGCCTCATTGAAGTGAAAATGAGGAAGCTCTGACTGGTTGCTCAATATGGCATTTACTATGTCATGTATAGAACTGACTGCCCTCTTGCTAACTGCCCCGTCCTTATGACATGCTGCCTGCAAGGAAGACAAAAAAAAATATGTCATACCAACAAGGTTTAGCACTTAACAAAAATAGATTTCAATGTTATCCTATATCAAAGTATAACCAGTTATTTACTACAGGAATAAATAAATTTTTATAGTTCTGTAGCCTACCTCCATAAAGTGGGGACCAGCAACGGCCCAAGCTCGCATGATATGGAGAAGTGGACGGCCAGATCGGACAGCACGGAGCATGACTTCAGCAAGTCGGTGAAGCAGGAGTATATCTCCACCCTTGCCTTTGCCCAGCTCTGCTCCTGTACCTCCCATAGTCTGTGTGAAGGAATTAAATAATATTAGGGTATACAGACAACCATTGACCCACATTATATAAAACAAGCAATATTGGCAAATTCATTATCATGGAAAATTTCTAAACTTTGGCAAAATGAGGAAGTACTGTTTAGCTGATCTGTTTATTTACCTTTCTTGGCCATTTCATCAGGCCCTTTTTAGGTGTCTGAGGAGTCATTCTGGAGAATAGTTGTGCCTGAGATGCAGCACACAGCTCAGCCAAGAAGCTGACTAAAGAAGCCATGTTTAGCTTGGTCGAGGCATCATCAAACAACCTGTTGATTAATTCATTAGAATATGTATTTTTTTAAAGAGCCTAACAAATAATTTGTGGCACCGACAACCTATATGTTTTTCGAAGTGAACTTCACTTTATCATGTTTTTCACTAGAGATATTTCACATGGAAAGGTGTTACAGTTTTTATGGTAGCATGTAGCAGTCCAACAATCAACAAATTTTTGATGCCCAACTGACATTTCAAAAACAAAGGAAAAGAGATGAGAAACACAACTACAATCTCATATATTAAAAAGGTGTACCAACCTGTCAACCATCTGTGTGAGAGCACATATTGCTTTCCCAGTGTCTTGCGGTGAGAGGAAGCCAGTGTTACTTATATCACTCTGACTTTCTCGGATCAATTCTTCCACGTTCATGCTTGGGGCCAGTGGCGACATGGGCACGATATAATGGTATGGATCCTCACTGCCCCAAAAGTAAGTATCAAAAATCAATATCATATATAATAAAATACAAAACATGAGTAACAGTTTAACTTTTAGGTCTACCAAAAAATAAAATATAAATAACACATAATACCATATATAGCAAAATAGATAATATAAGTAAACATGACATCAACTTATACTAAACCTTCCACTATACCTAAACATGTCATCAGAGGTAGAGTGTCCTGATTTGTCACTGTTCATTGATGGCGGAGCAAATCTGGGAGGGAATGACTGGTACCCACTGGTGTGGCTGAAGAATTGGTGCTCAAGTTCTGACAGATATACGCAGCATCTGAAATGTATAGCTTCATTAAGACACATGATGACAGCAAATTTGATGATGGTAATAACCCAGTAAAGGATGATAGTGTTCTTACGACAAATATCATCAATGTCATATGCACTGCACATAAAAAAAAAAAAGAAAGAAAGTGTGTGTGTGCATCTGTGCATGCTTTTGGCCCTGCTTGTCACTATGTGCAAACATGACTGCTGTTTACTGTGCATACAATATAATGAATAAATACACTGTATTAAAGAAAAAGATAATAGCTTATCAGCATGAACTTGATAAAACTTACTTAAAGATGTGTGTCCAACAATCAGATGCATGAGAACCAAGCTCTAAACCTGATGACATCATCACATGTAAAGAAAGTAAGTGTGCTGTATGGAGTCTCTGAATCTTCTTAGAAAATGCAGGAGATCTTAGGCTATGGCGCTTGGGTGTGCTAACTGGATTGCGGTCATCACTCGGCAGGCAGGCTGATGACAGAAGGGAAAACACGACACCACATCGACTCTGGAGTCCTGGAATAAATGTTAGTTGTTTAAAAGATCTAAGTACCAATCATAATGCTTCTTTTTGTGTGTGTGCATCTGTGCATGCTTTTGGCCCTGCTTGTCACTATGTGCAAACATGACTGCTGTTTACTGTGCATACAATATAATGAATAAATACACTGTATTAAAGAAAAAGATAATAGCTTATCAGCATGAACTTGATAAAACTTACTTAAAGATGTGTGTCCAACAATCAGATGCATGAGAACCAAGCTCTAAACCTGATGACATCATCACATGTAAAGAAAGTAAGTGTGCTGTATGGAGTCGCTGAATCTTCTTAGAAAATGCAGGAGATCTTAGGCTATGGCGCTTGGGTGTGCTAACTGGATTGCGGTCATCATTCGGCAGGCAGGCTGATGACAGAAGGGAAAACACGACACCGCATCGACTCTGGAGTCCTGGAATAAATGTTAGTTGTTTAAAAGATCTAAGTACCAATCATAATGCTTCTTTTTTATTGTCTACCTTCAAATAACACCAGACTTTTCATGGTTGGGTTCCAATGTGATCATCTTACAGTGTGTGTGTGTGCATCTGTGCATGCTTTTGGCCCTGCTTGTCACTATGTGCAAACATGACTGCTGTTTACTGTGCATACAATATAATGAATAAATACACTGTATTAAAGAAAAAGATAATAGCTTATCAGCATGAACTTGATAAAACTTACTTAAAAATGTGTGTCCAACAATCGGATGCATGAGAACCAAGCTCTAAACCTGATGACATCATCACATGTAAGGACAGTAAGTGTGCTGTATGGAGTCGCTGAATCTTCTTAGAAAATGCGGGAGATCTTAGGCTATGGCGCTTGGGTGTGCTAACTGGATTGCGGTCATCATTCGGCAGGCAGGCTGATGACAGAAGGGAAAACACGACACCGCATCGACTCTGGAGTCCTGGAATAAATGTTAGTTGTTTAAAAGATCTAAGTACCAATCATAATGCTTCTTTTTTATTGTCTACCTTCAAATAACACCAGACTTTTCATGGTTGGGTTCCAATGTGATCATCTTACAGTAATCTTACAATAGCATTTCAATTACCCAATATATTAGCCAATCTAGCCGCTGACTGCAGAGCATTTAGACATTGTGCTAATAGGTCCTGTGCTCTCCTTGACTCTTCTCTGGCTCCTTCTCCTCCCAAAAGGTGACGCAAAGGGCCAGTGAGTCCTCCTCCACCCACTCCTCCCAGGACTGCTCCTAAAACACCCACAACACTCTCCCAGCAACACGTTACAATACGACGACACAGCTTCATCCCTGGGGAAAGTGGGTCAGTGTTAATTTCAAGTTCTGCAATAAACTATGACCTCACAAAAAAAAAGATAAAGAAAAAAAAAATTAAACAAATTTATAAAAAGAACATTTGATCTTCATTTAAACTTCTGCTAACTTCAAGGTTTTTCCACTTCTTTGCAATATCACTCTTATCTCTTTCAACTTTGAATAGATGAAGTGTAATGATTTACAGTATGTAACAAGTAACACTAAAATTCTTCCTATATACTAAAGGCATATCAAAAGCACTAATTCAAAATCTGAAATCCTTAAAATCTAATACCTCCGAGCCAGATAAAACACCAAAAAGCCTATAGACTCCAGGGTGCCTGTAAATGTGACAGAATGTACTGCTTGCATTGCCATTGTGCATTTGTTTTCATTGACTGGTAAAGTCCTGGTTTTTGGCTCTGATACAGACTTCTAAAATAGAAAATGAGACTAGTGATTTTAAAATTCCCGGAAAAGTATTTGGAACTACAATGCAGTTTACCAAGTAGAAGAGCTAAAAACTTTTTGGACTGAGATATGATGACCTGTCACTGATGAGACAGCCATTCTCAGTATAGTATGACATACATGCCAGCTAGAGGCAATGAGTTAAGCAGAGTTTACTGAATGTGTGTCTACAAGGCTAGCTACAGAGAGAACTCTAAGACTATTCATAATTAAGATCCTTTAACATGTACAACCTTTTTACTTTTTTTCTACTAAATGCCATTCACTAACATTGCATCTCCATGAAAGAGAGAGAAGCCATTAATCTGGTATAGTGTCCACATACCCAGGAACATAATACATACCTGCAAGGACTTGTGGTGTGTGCGTAATGTTGGCTGCAGCTTTTTCCAGGCGTCTATGATCAGACAACAGCTGACTCTTTTGCTCACTGCTACCAAGTCCATCTAAATCTACAGAGTTAATTGAATGGTCAGTCATAAATACTACTGAATTTAAAGTCATGACAA